ATGCAGACACAGACTATGAGGATAAAATATCCATCTGTACTGAAGGAATAAAGCTTCATCTTAAATATGAATAGATTGCCTCAAGAACTCATTATGCTATTATCAGCTACTAACATCTCAGTATAAATTAAATTATCTAATTACTTCTAATGTGTAGAAAAATAATGGAAAGACATATTAAAACATTTAAATTGGTTCTCTTTGGGCAGTGAAGAATCATAGGTCTTTTCCACCCCCATTGTTCATTATTTTCAATTTTCACATGAAAGGTTGAGATTTTGTCATTAGAAAATTAGTTATGAAATATGTTTTTATCTGTCAAACTTTAAAAAAAGGAAGTTCATTGAGTTTGGAATAGACACAAAATGAAATAAAAATCACTTCTGCAGTGGAGCGGGCTGTTTAGGAAACTAGTGCTGATACTCAGGCAGGGACCTGGAGTCCCTGAGGCTCCTGCCTGTGACCCCTGCAGCCCTGCCAGGGGCGAATGGAGAAGGGCCTGCCTGTCCTAGGTCATCATGATTCAAAGATGGCAGACCTTCCCACCTTCTCCCCTGACCTTACCACAGGTGTCTGGAGAGGCACGTTAGGCAGTCTGCAGCCACAGTGCATGCCTTCATTGGGGCAGTATGGGTTCCTGGGTAACTGTATGGAAAAAGAGATAAATAAGCCAAGAGACAAATCCTGATTGCTAAGAATGAGAATCATTGCTAAGAATGATCTCCTCTGGGACCATAAGAATAGGAAATGAACATGAAATCATAGGAACCCGGCATGTAATTAAGCGAAGAAATAACCAAATTCTAGACGAATCTGAAACTTGTGATAAAGGTTTTATGATATGAAATATACAAATACATTTTTTCACATCACGTGATCAAAGAAGGAAAATAAAATGATCATCTCAGCAGATACCCAAGTATCGCTGAGCAAGTTTCAGCGTTCCGTCCTGGCGAAAGCAGAAGAATAAAACAAAACTCAATAAAACTAAAAATAAAATGATAATTCTGAAATGTGATAAGGAATGTTCACCTTAAAAAAGTGACCAATGTTATATTTAGCAGTGAAACATGAGGGGCATTGGATCTCAGCGGGGAGGAGTGAAGGATGTTTCCTACCATCATTATCAGGAGGGTTTTTCTGGAAGTTTTCGTCAGTACATATGGATAATGAAACTAAAGACGAGTTTATCATTATTTTCAGATGACATAATTGCCTACCAACAAAATCCCAAATAAATAACTGTATACTCTATTGAAAGTAGTAAGAACTCAAGAAGTTGGTTGTGTATAAAAAATGAAAAAAAAAATGCAACAGCAATTATTTTGTGTGAGTGGATGGACATAATCATCTTGCTATTCACACTAGTAATAAAGCCTAAAAACTGCTCAGCATATACAAAGCAATAGGATTTACATAAAGTGAACCATAAAACTTTACCGAGGAACCAAAAGAATGTGAATAAATGTCCTCTTATAAAAAGTTTCAGTAGTATCAGCTGCCAGTTCTATGAATTGCAATCCATATCCTTGTGGAATCTTTGGAGGAAATGTTTAGGTAAATTGACAAGAAGTTCATGGCAGAATAATGAACCAAAAGACTGAAATTAAATTAGATTAGAAGGAAAGGGCATTAGTGATTTGTCTCTGGGCAGATCATAAGTGATTGTTTTTTCTTTCCTTTTTGTAATTTTCTATGTTTTCTAAATGTTCTAAAATAAGAAAATAACACTAATATAATAATTAACAAAGGAGCATCTTCTGCCCCTAATTTCGGCATTCTAAGAGGTTGTAGGTGGTCTACCAGAATACTAAAAAAATAAGATTTTTTTTTCTGTAAATCTCAGAAGTTTTGTCTTACTGTTTGTTTTCTTAGCATAATTAGTCGTTTGACTTATGGATTAGACTGCATAAATATTTTTGTTATTGTGAGGAAACACCATAAATCATATTTAATATATTATAGAAAAATAAAGAAAATGAGGTACCTACAATGTTAAAGCATTGGCATTGTGCCGTCTTCTTGGAATGTGAGGCAAATATAAATTGAGTTTGTTGTAGTCTGGTTTTTGAGACCCAGACTGGTCATAGATGAAAACTTCAAGCTAAAAACAATTTTTATATCAAATCATAACTTTGTTTTTATTTATTCTAAAACCTCAATTTAATCTTAGAATTCGTTTTTTTTTTGTTTGTTTGTTTGTCGTTTTGTTTTGTTTTGTTTTGTTTTGGTTAGAAGCATAATAACCAAGTTCTTTGAAAAGTGCTTTCTTATAGAGAAAGGGGTATATAAGAAATTGTGAATTCAGTCTCTGACTCTGACACCAGCTATGCAGACTCATAAATTCTAATTTCCGCATTTGTAAAATGAAGAAACTCTTCTGAACAACCAATGAGACCTTTACTACTTTGCTTCCATGTTCTAAGAAACATGTGATTTATTGGTACATTAGTAGAGTAACACATTTTGAGCAAAGGTCTCCCACCATAAGACATTTTTCAATAAATACAATTAAGCCACAATTAGTTGAAAAGAGTTACCATAGAGACTTTCACTGGACTAAAATAAATAGAAATTAAAATAATATTGCTAATATTTGCTACAAATATATTTCAAATCATCTACCAAGATTTTGTCTACCTTATTGTAGGTTTTTGATATGCATCTAAAAATTTAACCAAAAGTCCAATGCACAGTTTCCAAGCTATGCGATCGTGCTATTTGGAATACCAAACAACTCTCTCAGACCTGTGCTAACTGACATGAACACCCCAAATTCCATTCATTGCATCATAAAAAAATCATTACAAAATGACTTAATTTTCTAGAAAAGTTGACTGTTACATGTTGAAAGCAAGAGTAGAAGGGAGACTGGACGTGATCAAAATGCAATGTATGCGTGTGTGGAAATGTCACAGTGAAGCCCGTTCATTTCTACAATTAATGTGTGTTGTTAATGATAATAATAATAACAGAGTAAAAAAAAATAACCTGGGGAAAAAAACTGCACACAATACCCATGAGTCAGAAGGCAAAAATAAATACCTTTCATCATAGGGAGAAAAGAGAATATTAAACCCAAAAACTATTTGAAGTTATTAACAATACTCACCAGCTCAGTGACATTTTGTTCAATATCTTCCAGATTCTGCTGTCGTTTTTCAACCATTCTGAGAGTGCTGGTCTCTCAAATGCAATTCCAGAAACGTGGTACAGACTTTGAGGATTAGAAGTAAAAAATGAAATATGCTGGGTTTATGTTAAATTAATAATTGTTCATTTATTCAATATGGCTTATCTAAAAGAGTAGTTATTTTGTCATCTGGGAAAACTCCCAAATTTAACCAAAAAGATACACAACTTATACTGGGTGGATAAAAGTAAGTACAATTATCTGCTCTTTTCAATAAATGAGATGCAGAGAATGATCTCGTCTATGTGACTGACTGTAGGACTCTGGGCAGATAGATGTAAGCTCTTGGCCTTTTTATTTCATGCAATTTATTTGAAATCATTGAAATTTGATTTCTCACAGGTTGGGAATTTGGTTGTGCTTCTGAAGGAGCCTACAAAGCCACTCCTTGACCAGGAATATTACAGAATTCTATGGCTAAGTAAACAGAAGGATTATGGTGGTGATTAATTTCCAAACTGTCCAAGGGCAGTGTTTAGATTACTGGTTCAGAATAAATTTAGGTGAATGATGAATAAAATCCACTGTACTGCTGAAATCAGTAGCTGTGTTTAGACAAGGAAAAAAATGTATTAAAATGGTTTTAGCTAAGGATCAAAATAGGCGCTAAATGAATTTTAGTAGCTCTTGATGATGGGAATCCAGTATTACCCAAGCTGATTCTTGTGTGCTGCTTACAGCATTATTATCTTGCTTTAGGTTGTGTAATGATTATCACTTTGTGGTGAATTCTGATCTTATAGATCAGAAAGAACTAGGAAAAAAAGAAGGAAGAATATCTTAGGTACTTTTCCATTTCTCATAAGGGAAAATGTACAGGATGCAGAACATAAAATCCAGGTGATGGTTCATATTAAGCAGAGATTTGATGCTCTCTGACCCTATGGGAGAGTGGCATTATGCTAGAGAATAAAAAGAAAATGGCTTTAAAGACTCCTCTTAATAATGCATTTCCTCTAGGTCAACCATTCCTGTGGACATTAGTTATGTGCATTTCCAAATTATCAGTAGACTTACACTCACAGTCTAACTCAAGAAGAGATATGTCCTCCTAGGAGTGCAGATATCTCTTCAGCATAATCATCTTAATTCCTTAGATAAGACTGAGAAGTAGGATGGCTTTTTCTTTCCATGGTTTTGTGGTTTGGGATCTTATGTTGAAGTCTTTAATCCATTTTGAGCTGAGTCATGTTCATTGGATGAGGTAAGGTTCATCTTTCATTATAGAAGTGTTACTGTATGTGGACACCCAATTTTTCCAACACCATGTATTAAAAAACTGTCCTTTCCATAGGTTCTTGGTACCGTTGTCACAAACCAACTGGTTGCAAATGTATTATTTTTGATTGTAAATTTTCTGTGATTTCTGTCCTCTTCCATTGTCAATGTATCTGTTTTTATGTCAATTATCATAACATTTAAGACCAGTAGTATGGTGCCCCAGCTTTGTTCTGTTTGCTCAAGACAGTTTTGGCTATTTAGGGTCTTTGGTAGTTCCATACAAGTTTAAGGCTATTTTTTTCTACTTCTGTGAAGAGTAGAAAAAAATATTAGAATCCTTATTTCTGATTTCATTGAATCTGTAAACCACCTTGCGTAGTATGGACTTGGAACAATATTAATTTTTCTAACCTATAAACATGGGGTAACTTTCCATTTATATATGTTGTGAATGTGTTTACATTTTGATTAGGCTTAACGCACTGAAACTCCATTTTTAAGACTGATGGCACAGTAGGAGATAAAACATGAAATAAACTAGCTCATGTACCTGTGTTCTGGCAAAAAAAAAGTACAGTTTCTCTAAATAATTAGGAGGGTTGATTTGGTTGATGATCACCCCCCTCAACAAACATGAGCCTCCGTGGCTTCTAATACTGGACTCCTAGTCTCATTTTATGGAAAATACTGAGAACACCAAACTCTGGTGCCTTCCAGTAGAGAACAAAGTTGGCAATGGGACCAGCATTGTTATATCAATCATTGGGCACCCTTGAGATCATATTCACCATCTCCTTTGTTGGCTGGTTCCTCAAGTGTATCAATTCTTGTCCATCCTTGAACCTTACGGTCTATCCTCAGCTTTCATGCTTCAGCCATTTTGTTCTGTCCTTAAAGTTTGATTTCTACCTTGACAGTTGGAAATTGAAGTGCTGCCCATCAGAGAGGTGGGGGGGCGGAGGCCGGGGAGTAGAGGTATTCCTTTTTCCAAGATACTGAATGCTAATTGAAATCACTTGCAGACCATGAGGCATTAAAGCATAGCAGCCAACCTGCATCTGGATTTCTGGTGATATTAACTGGGCTTAATTTGCTTTAACCACAAAGAAACAAAAAGTTGAGGCCATTATTCAGAATCATTAGAAGTAAAGAGATTCCATTTCTGAATTCTGTTGTAAATACTCTGAAAAGAAAAATTTATTTGTAAATCGCAATTATGGAGCCAAGTTAAATCTCAGGAATGTGAACAGTTCAAAGAAATTGATAATAGTATAAAGAAATGAAATCTGTTTCCCACAGAGCATGGAGACAAAGACCAGTTGAATTTTTTAAAATATATTTCTTAGTTGTTGATGGACCTTTATTTTATTTGCTTATTTATATGTGGTGCTGGGAATCGAACCCAGTGCCTCATAGGTACAAGGCAAGCACTCTACTGCTGAGCTACAACTCCAGCCCCAAGACCATTTGAATTTTTGATCTGATGACTAGACAGATACCTCAAGAAAAGATCAAATTCTGATTTTCCAAGGCTGGGGATGTGGCTCAGGCGGTAGTGCGCTTGCCTGGCATACATGCGGCCCGGGTTAGATCCTCAGCACCACATACAAACAAAGATGTTGTGTCCGCCAAGAACTAAAAAATAAATATTAAAATTCTCTCTCTCTCTCTCTCTCTCTCTCTCTCTCCTCTCTCACTCTCTCTTTAAAAAAAAAAAAAAGAAAAAAATTCTGATTTTCCTCCATTGCTATGTTGACTTGCTAATGAAATCCCTAGTAGAGAAATTTAAAATTTTGAGAAAATTTTATCTGGAAGCTCAGACGAGAAAGGAAAAAAAAAATAATAAACCAAGTTATAGAAGTGAAAACTCCCAAAATAAATGAAATACACACACACACACACACACACACACACACACAGTATTAATGATTCTGGCATTATGTGGAATACCTATGCTTACTAATGTTTTTTATATATTTACAACATACAATACAATAAAATAACACAGACAATCCTCAACTTCAATTTTTGAGAACATTTATTATGTATTTGTTTTTCACTTCCAATTCATGAGTTTTTCCATTGTTCTGTTCAAGTTCTTATTGATAAGATTTTTCCTAACTATGGAGCAATTTAATTATTTAGTCAAGAGCCTCAGAAAATTAAAGTTTGTTTTGTGGACACTCTGGATACCATATGAATGGCATGTATATTTTTATGAATATTGCATGAACAAACAAAATTTTATACTTTATGTCAACTTGAAGAAATTGGTCTATGTATGCTCTGTCTTATGAGTTCTTCATTAATTGCTTGTACATCCGGTTGACATCCAAATTACATCCTGCTTTCTTTATTCTTCCCAATTATTCTTCCCAATAATTTCCTGGATTTTTGTCAAATAATATGGGCATCTGACTTTTGAAAGGCATCTTTCTTTTGACACTGCCTTTTTCCAAAATTGTCTCACTTTAATTACCATCTGAATTTCTGCATTTTTATCCTGTGACTCCAAATTCTCTCTCTGCAAATATTATATTTCTGGGTTAGCCATGCTATCGAGCCGCACATAAGCAATTATAATTTAAAAGATTATATTATTAGTTCCTCAAGGGTGGGGACCAGGTCTATGATTTGAAATGAATTTCCTGAATGGTTAGTACCCAACTTCACAATTTATAAGAACTTAATTAATATGAGGTGACCGATAAATTACTGGTTTGAAGTTAGCAAGTTCCATAAATACATAGTTTATGATAATTATAACGAGTCTGTCCTTTGTTTGAGAATTCCTGATAGCTAATAGACTTGGGTCGACAAGTTAATTGGTACATGCAAACATTGTCACTTTTAAAACCTGAGAATTCTATCCTCCCTGCAAAATGATTCATTATAATGAAGATTTTAAGCTTCTCATTTCTGCTCCCAATAGGAGTTTTTTATCCCTGCATCTTTTATGGCTCATCTTCTTTGTGCTAACTAGCAGTAAGGGAAGCTGAAGACCCCACAGAAACAGACCCTAGAACTTTTGTGACCATTGCTCCAACGAGGACAACCATATTTAAAACCACCCCATACAAAAGTGACTCAAGCAGCCTGTATTCATATAGTGGCATGAATCAGGGAAGGGGAAGCAGTAAATACATTTATGACATGATTAGGCACTTCTAGGACTTCACAAAAAAATTAATGAAAAATAAAAAGTATAGGAAATTATGGGTACACTGTCATGAAAATAAATAGTAATTACTAATAAAATTGAAGCCCCCGTGTACACTCCTTAGATAATACTCCCTTTCCCTAGAAAGAGCCAACACTCCAGATCATCTGCTTATCATTTCCCTGGCTTTTCATTTTTTATTGAAGTTACACTCCACATTTATGCAGTTTTGGATACTTAAATGATAAAAGTATCAAACTGTGTTCTCAGAACTTGCTCTTATTTTGATTTTTGTTAAGATAATCAATGATGCTGTGAACATCTTGTCTGTGTTTCCTGGCATTTCTTTAGGGCATATACTTAGGAGTTTAATATCTGTGTTACAGGATATGCAAATTTAAAATCTGCTGAAAAATTATGAAATATTTTCCTGTTTCATTGTTCTGGATCACTGCCATGTTTTCATGTTTCAGTGTTTAAAAAAATATTGTCCAACATAGTGGGTACATGTAAACTTACTCGGTGTAAGTGAGGAATGCATTTTCCTGATGATTAATGAGGCTGACCATCTTAGGACTCGACAGTCTTGTCCATTTGTATTTCCTATGACATGAGGCAAGAGCCCTCCGTGGCCTGGAGTCCT